AGATGTTTGATGATTTATTATTTCACCCAAATGTTCCATCACGAATGATCCTTCTTTAATTGGTTTTAACGTTCTTACGCCCCAGCCTTTATTTTCAGTTTTAAAAATCTATATTTGTGAAAGATGTGTGAAAGGTGTGTGTGAAATGTGTAAGAAATGAGAAAGATGCGTGATAAGAAAAAAAAATATGAGAAATGAAAAAGATGTGTGAAATGTGTGAGAGTGGACGAGAAATAAAAGAATTACCTGTAAATTTTTATTACAATTATTACTATTTTGTATAATTCTATTAGGACAAGTAAAATTACATCCGCAAAATGAATTACATTCATATATTGCTCCTATATCTGATCTAATTAATTTTCCATTTTTATTGAATGGATAATCAACTTGAGAAAAATAATAATAATAATAAATAGTTAAAATAATAAAAATAATCAAAAAAAAAATAATAATAATAATAAATCAATAAATAATCCAAAATTAAGAGATAATAAATATTAAATATTAAATTACCTTCACCGTGTTGAACACATGAACAATTAGTAACATCCTATAAAATATAATAAATAAATATTGTTAATATATATATGTATGTATATAAATATATATCTTTATAAAATGTATAATATATAAATTATTACCTTACAATTATCTTTACAAGTACAACCATAATTATAATCTTCATCAGGACTTCCAACATCCCAATGTATTAAATTTTCAAAAGTAAACTAATAAAAATCAGTAATATAAATAATAAAAATAAATAATAAAAATAAATATTATAAATATAAATAAAAAATAAATAAATATTATAAATAAATTATAAAAATAAATTATGAAACAAATATTATGAAAGAATATAAATAAATAAATATAAATAAATAAAAATATAAATAATAAATGGATAAATAAATATAAATAAATAAAATAAAAATCTTTAAAAAATACCTCTAAAATTGGTAATTTTTCACTATCAACATCATTGAATATACTGTATGGTATAGCATTAACATTAGCTATAAATTTGAAATTCCATAATTCTTCATATTGTAAATCAAATTCCATAAATTTCTTTTCTATTTGAGTGATTTTTTCATATACATCTTGTAAAATTTTGGAATTGGAATCTAGAATATCATTTATATTTGTCATTGCAGTTGAATCATCATTGTTATTGTTATTATTCTTTTTTTATTATAAATAATTAATAATTAATAAAAATAATAATTAATAAAATAATAATTAATAAATAACTATAATTAATAAATAACAATAATTAATAAATAATAATAATTAATAAATAACAATTATAATAATATAATTAATAACTAATAATTATATAAATAATTATAATAAATAATGATAATCAATAAACAATTAATGATGTGATGTGATGTGATGATGATAATAATAATAATAAAAAGTAGATCTTACATCAAGTGAATCCCAAATGCCTTTAACATAGATTGGTGATCTGAACA